ATACCATAGGCTGACAGACGGCGCGTCTACGCTCAGAATAGTTTTTCATACACAATGATTTTATACCACCGAATTCGAATTCCATATCATCGCGGATTTTCGACGACATCTATAATATATACTCTACACGTGTGTACATCATACTTGATATACCTACCATATTACGGTGCATCATTCCTAGATCCTCCGTCTGCGGAATGTAATTTTTTCTGGTCATCACTGCTAACTAGTAACAAACGTGAATAGGTATCTATAATGTTTGTAAAACAATCACAAACCAGAAAAATCGTCTGCAGATGTACACAAAGACTCGTATATTGTTTTTATACTATAATTTAGCTGTTGACGCGGACATCGCTTCTTTGCACTCTTCGCCAAATTGTTATTATGTTCAAGTCACGATATTTGAATGGCTTGTAGTCGGTGATGAAGACTTCTCACGTCGTGTCCAAACTTTGGAGTGGAATAATCGCGCCGCCGATCCGTATAACGCGGTAAGATCATATAATAACTACAATAAATTTTTTTAAACGTAAGAAATCTTAAATGATTTATTTTATGTTTGCATACATTATATTTGTAAGGAATGCGTTTTAGTTCTTAAACTCGGATACACATATTATTTTATTTATAGTTAGGTAGGTAGGTAAAAAAATGTAATTTATCAGTTTATCTTGCCACTTAGGAATGAGAACCACTACCTAAACAAATATAATATAAGTAATAAATTGAATTATTGTATATTATGGTTCTACTTATACCACTACAACAGTTTTTATGAAAGAAGTTAGAAAAAAATGTGTGCTAACAAATAAAATACGTATAGTAATGTATATAATTTTGATGAAATTGTCCAGTTCGTGTAGAATGTTCAATTTGATGCACAACATTTTTTTGTAATTTTTTTATTTAGTTGCCATTAAAATTAAATTCAATACATATTGTACATGTGCTATGAAGTATTTAAATTTATAAACACTATGAGTTTATCTTTATATTACTTTACATAATATTATGTAGGTATTTACGTTAAGTTTTATAAATTATAATTGTTTTCATCTTCGTGGACTGCTGGACTAGTACTAAAATTTATAATTTATATCGAGACTAGTACTTATTGGTTCTTAGCACAATATTACCATATCACGGAGACAGAGGTATCTACTTACTGCAATAACAGAAATTGTATTTGACTACACTAACCTATGAATTACGAAATTCCAAAAAGACAATATAATAGTTTATATTCGCTTTCCCCATATTTGCCTTGAATATTATCAAAATGTTCTTATTTTTAGATTTTCAGTCATACTTTACAACTTTGTATTACGACTTAAAAGTTAAAAGTATCAATTCAGAATGAAAGAATTAGATACCAAGTAGATACATTTAAATAAAGTAGACAATTGAATTACGAGCATTTTAATTTGAAATATTCCGAATACTTTAGTGTCAATAATGGTTTTCATAATTTAATATAGCTTGTAGGTATTACTTAAATGTGTAAGTTCAAACTCAATTGTTTTCTCAACTTAAATTGTAGGTAGGTATAGGTAAGTAGTCTAGGTACCTAGGCTGTTATCAACTAGGATGCAGAGTGAAATGTTTGCTTACTAAGTGTTGTTGTTTATAATCTTAAAGGACTTCCTTAGTTTATTGTTATGTTATTCAGTTATTTAACTTACACACTATTTGTAGTTGTCACGAACAATGACTCAAGAATGCATGTATGCCAATACAACACAGTCGTATTATTTTTGTTATAGAAAAGGTATATCATTACCTGATAAATAAATAATAAAATAAATTATACATTCAGCATTGTAGAAATTACATTCATTAAAAATTCGTTTGTACACTATAGTTGTCATTAAAATGAATGTATGTAGTATGTTGACAAACTGTCATAAACTCACATGAAACAATAAGAACATAGATCCACTTTTGTATAATTATTATGACTTATGATAATTTTTACCATTTTTATTTTTTACCAAAGTTATTAATTTGTATTACTGAAATCCAGACATTTGAATAATATAGTGAACATAGATCATATTCAATTTAAGTTCCTTCTTAAAAATTAAATCAAATTATATAAGACGAAACCATCTATACATACCATCATATGTATTACTGATAAGTGATAACATAATAAACAGTACCTAGTTAATACACTTATACCTAGTATTCAGAAATATATATATGGCAGTTGAATAATGAATAGTATCACAAAAATGATTGTGATAAATCGATAGATAATACGTTTCACTCACATGTATCTAACACAGTTGTTGCACCAACATTTAATACAACATGATATTAATTTATTTAAAATCAAACTTTTATGTGACATTCCTTACACATCTACTTATGTAGGTATTTAATGTTTGGAATACGCCAATACATAATATTAAATACATTTTTAGGATTAAAATATCAATCATAATAAATTGGTTTAACTATTTATGATTTTTAATTCTCTTATATAGTATCTTTGACATAAGCTACACAGTAACTAAAATCTTATGTCACCACTAAAAATGTTGAAAATTACATACCAAATGTTATCATGGTGACTCCGCGTATAAAATGTACAATATTTTACTACTTGATTACATTTGTGATATAAATCATAAACTAATTATTTAAGTTTGCCCATTTTTATAATACCGAATGAAAAAATATGTTCTAACATCTTATAATGAAAAAGCATTGTTTCTACACAATGGTTTTATATTCCTTAAAAAATAATGTACATTTTATTTTAAATGAAGTGATTTTGTACAAAAATGTATTATTGTAACTTATTTACTTTATACAATTATGAAATGATTTTTTGTATGAAATAAAATTGATCTGTGGCTTGGTGAGGCGCTCATACGCTCAATCTGTGACAACGCTCTGATTTTACGTAACGGCCGTCGTTATTAGCACTCGGATGGGTGACTACTCGGGTTTTTAGGAACACATCCTTGCCACAAATATTAACATGTTCGAACCCCCCCCCCCCCCCCCGCACAGAACCCGGTTAATTACCTCAGTAATTGAGTCATAATCCAAATAAAAAAAAAAAATTATTTTAGTTTGATGGTTTGGATATTGGCCTTCACAAATTTACATTATGTCGAGTGGATTAATGTAGAGATTCTAATGCACCGCACTGCGGCTGGGGCTGACGTTGAATTGAGTCCCGCAAATATTTTTGGGTTATCGGAGTTGAGTCCGACCGATATTGTTAGGTTATTTGAGTTGAGTCCCTTCAGCCTATTAGCGTTACCCAGGAGACACCACGTGGAGGTTGGCTGTGTAGTCTCCCAAAAATGTGTGTTTGCTTAAACTAATTTTTTTTTTTAATAATTATAGTTATGTACAATAAAACAATTTTTTTTAAAATAATAATAGTCATGTATAATAAAATAATTTTTTTTAAAAATAATAATAGTTATGTATAATAAAATAATGTTAATAATTATATATTGGCTGGTAAAAATTTAAATGATACAGATTTAAAAAAATCAAATCTGCAAATTTGTTTATTTATGTATTTATTTGTCTGCTCCAGTAAAAATTTTTCTTTTTCTAATGTTGATTTGCATGGTATTTTTGCTTTACTTCTTAATTTAATATATGTATCAGACTGTATTCCCAAAAGAGTGTCAACAAGAATTAAAATATTTGGATGCCCCGAATGAAAAAAAGCATTTAATTTTGAGTGAAAACTTTCACAACTATTAATGGTTCGATTTGTTGTCGCTGAAAAATCAGTAGATAATATGTTGAAATGCTTTAGCATAAATATTCGACTCTTTTGTGGGCAACAGCAAAAACACAAGAGGAACATATTATGAATCTTTATAGAAACCGTGAATCGTAAAAAATTAAGTAAAAAATTTAGGACAGCTCTTCAACGTCCTGTCAATATATAATATTCAACAAAACATCTAAATTTATTTTTGTTCGATTTCAATGCATTTTGAGTCTCGTGTATACTTTTCGGTAATTTTGGATGAAGCAATGAACGAGCGTAGTGAATATTCTGTTTGATTAAAGTAACGTCGTTTGTTGTGAGAGCTGAAATGTCAACATTTTTAAACTCATTATGTAAAATTTTCGATGGCCGAGCAGAAATATCATCCACAGCTTTTCTTTTAACAGCGTTACTAATTTTCTGTCTAGTAAGTGCTTGTTCGTCACACTTATCATGATTATGTTCATTGTAGATATCTGACAAAACATTATTAGAGGTTAATTAAAAAAAAAACACTTACACGAGTTATTACAACATGTCCACCGTTGAACCTCGCCTTGCAACATTTTATGAAATCGAAATTTGAACCCTTCAATAATTCTGATTTCTTTTTGTTTTTCACTGAGAATACACTCCATTTTTGGTAATAATTTAACGTTAGGTTAGGTTATAATATTGTGTGTTCACGAATTATTCGACACGACTGATTGTGAATATCCGTTGTCGTTGCATATCCGATACTACGCTATAATATGATGTGCAAAGTTCAAGGTCGCCACCGGCAGGTAGTTATAACATTTTATCTATACGGACTCAATTCAAAGACATAAAAGTAGCACGGACTCAATTCAATATCACCGGCGGCTGGTTTTAAAATTTGAATTCGGCGAGGGAGAGCTCTTGATAGGCAAGTTACCTCTGTTTAAACCCTAGACTCTACGGAAAGATACCTTTAGGTATACCTAATGGTCGCTTAAATAACATTAGAGGCTCATAACTGGTTTATTAAATGTAATCAATTTTTTTTATTCAACACGTCATTAGTATAAAGTAATATAATACAAATTGTGATAGTACGGTTAATGGTTATAACTTATAATTTATAACTTATCATCTATATTCTATGCGAGTATAAATACATTAAGTGATAAATATAAATGTAACAGTATTTGCAGGTACTTATCTATAAATACATCAAAATAAACTTTACAAAAAATATTGTTAATTTTAATTTTTTGTAGGTGAAACAATGAATCAGCAATTTTCAGTCCTAGTATTATTTTTTTCCATTTTGATTTTGGCTGAAAATTCAACTACAGTATTAAATAATGTGTTACAAAGTAAGCCGATGAATATCCAAAACAATCATTCGATAATCAAGATGAAAACAACGTTTTTGAACAAGTAAACATTATTTTTTATTTTAAATATTTATTATATTTACATAAATATATCAAAAAAATCTAGGGAAATTTACTCCAAAGCATAGAAGGTTTCGAGTAAACCTACCCCGTAGGCCGTAATTCAGTAAGTAGTTCAATAGTTGATTGTAATGAATGTGTTAAATTTGAATTTAGTAATAAATCATTGCATAACATACTAAAAATGATTCTATGCCGAGACTATTAATCTCTAAGGATATTTTATAATTTCTTTAATTTATTATTTTTGAGATTTCCTCATCTGTTATTATAGTAACCATACAGGTACCCGAGTATTGCGTAGAACGATGTGAATAGAACCCAAGAACCCATAGTATAAATAGCTTAAAACTAGTTTCAATATTTTTTTAATTGTATTCGGTGTATATGTAGGCAATAATAGTATATACTCAAAACGCAATATCAAAAAGTTTCAAACAGGTCATTAGTCATTACTATTCGAATTTTTTTGTTTAGGTACAATGATTATTGAATCTAAATTTAACAAAACAATTTCAGTGACTCTCATAGACACTTAATGTATAGCAGTGCGTTACCCACTTACCAGCTTATTTAGAATAATAGTAGATTATATAAACTGAATTTTAACATACCTACTATTATGTTTAATTATTAACTACATATTATCATTGTTTGTAATATAATCATTTTTTCAGAAAATTTATCAACTTTAACAGAACCAAGAATTTGAATGTACTCAATTTCACGAGAAACAATATCGTACCTGTTACGTCTTATGTAATTTCTTCTCAAATAAATCGTTTTCCGAGACAAGTGTCAAATAAGAATTATAATGAAAATACGGAATATAAACCATATATTAAAAAAATATTAGATTTAAAACCTGATAACTATGAAAATATGACGTATGATTATTATGAAAATGGAAAATATAATGATAATCAAAAGAAAAAAATCAATGGTCTAATAGATGAATTAAATTTACATAGAGAAATAGAACGAAATTCTAGACCAATAACAAGAAATTTAAAAGAATCACAAGACAGAAAAAGATGTTCTATGAAAATTACACAAAATGTAGGTCCTACAAATCATCAGGAATCTCAAAAATTATTTTTAACAAATATCGAGGACGGAATAAAACCAACTCTTAAATGTAGGGATTGTGAACTTTTAAAATCAAATATAAATCCCGGGGAACCTTCAAATAATTATAATAATAATCTAAAATTAGAACAAAAAGACGATGATTACTTAATTACAATTTTAAATCAATTAATTGACAAAAGAAATAAAACAAAACATGTTAAATCTACTTCAATTAAAGACCTACCTATACAAACAAGTATGGGTACAAATAGTTCTTCTTCTGGAGAAATGATAGTTAAATTTGAAAAAATTAAACGAAATCGTATAATAAATAAACTTGAGCCTAGTCCTGAAAATACTTATGTTAATGGAAATTGGGTAAGAAATAAAATGATAAAAAATAAAGTGAATGATTTTAAACCAATACAAAATGATCGCAGAAGTGGGTTTAATGATAAAAATGAATCAATTTCAAAAGATGACATAAAACAATTGAATTTAAAAGATTCCAAAAAACAAGTTATTGAAACTGATGACAACATTTCTAATAAGTTAAAAGACTTATCAGTAGTTACTGTGCATGAAAATAAATACATTTCAACAACTCCACTTTCGGAAGAAAATGAACGCCTTTTATTCTCTATAGAGACCATTAGGCCTTTTGTTGTATCAACTACACCAAAAGATAAATCAGATTCTAGTATGATTAACGATAATAATAAATTACAATTTACAACTAAAGAGTATACAGATCAATCGAGTAAAGAAGACAATATTTCAAGTTACGATGAGAGTAATACAAGTCAAGACAAGCAATTTGAACAATCTAAAAATAATTTTAAAACAACGGCGGCAATATTTGAACCAACTGAAGAACCAAGATCAGATTCAAATGAGACATCAAAACTAAAAAACCTAGATGGAATCACAGAGTCTTATGACAGTAATCAAAACACAAATTATTCGGATGCGGGTGACACGATTGTAGACGAAAAACAAAATAATTCTTTGGATGATAATTTGAAATGTAATTGTAATTGTAATAAAAAAATCATCAAGAATATTTTAAGTTCAACAACAGTGACAAATATCACTGAAATAAAAACTGATATGGATACACCACCATATAATTTAAAAATGAATAGTCACAAACGTTCAAGTCAATTACTAAAAAAAAGTGGCGAAATAAATAGATCTAAAAATAAAAACAGTGAAGAAAATTTAATTAAAAATAAAATTAATATAAGCTCTGATGACTTAGGGAAAAAACAAGTAATAACATCAGAAAGTACAAGTAGAGAAAATCTAAAAGAAGCAAATTTAAACTTGTTACAAGGATCAACGTTAAATACTCGTATTGATGATAATCAGTCACGAGGCACAAAAGACAGTAAACCAAACAAAAATAAAAAAATTGATTCAAAAAATTCTTCATTTAGCTCTATAATTCCTGAAGTAATGCTAAAGGGTCAAAGAAAAATAAATAACGATAAAAACAACAAGGTTGAAGAAATTAATAATAAAAGAATGTTTTTAAACCAAAAGTTGCCACAGATAAATAAAAGTCAATTTTCAAAATTAAAACGTTTACCGCAAAACTATGAAACTTCTGTAAAAAATAATAACAGGAAAAATAATAATATGGATAAAATAACAGACAATAATAATAACATTTTTACCAAGAGTTCTTCTCAAACTTTGGATAAGATTATAAGTCGAACTCCACCTAAAACTATATCAGAAATATCAAGTAAAAAAATAGAAAATATTACAAAAAAGAGACCAGGACATCTCATTGAAAAAATGAAACTTAATTTTCCAATAAACTCAAAAATATATACAACAAGTAATGTTGGTGATTACTACAAAACTAATTATATGACAACAACTGAAAAAATATTTGCTTCTCCGAGGATTTTGTCACAAGTACCAATAAAAGATATTAACCAGCATTTCCCTCAAACAACACCGAGAAATCTAGAAAAACTTTTAGACAATTATGACGACAATAAAACAAAAAATATTCCAACAAAATTGATTACAGAATCAGATAAATATACTGTATTTAATCCGAATACTCGTATTATTAAGAACCTAAAAGAAAGTAATATTAATAAAGAATTCATTTCTCGAACAGATGGTATAAATACTAATAATTTAGACCCTCTCCAATTACAAAGATCATCGAACTTAGTCAAACCTATTCAAAGCACTAAAATTCAAATGACACCCAAAAATAAAAATGGAAATCTTTATTCAACAAAAACCCCTACACTCAGTAAAAATAATAGCACTACAATTAATAAAAATGTTTCAAAAACAAAGTTTTCCAAACCGGATCTATTGATGCAAAATCCGATGATAATTAGTTCTTCAGATACAACAAAGCAGATGAAAAATAACGAAAATATGCCAATATTAAAAACAAATAATGCAAAAACAGAACCAAGTTCTGTGCCATTATTTTCAGACAAAATAGCTGAATCCAAATACAACCGTTTTGACAAGCCACTTACCTTACCTTTAAAAAATAAAAATATTCTTAATAATCAAACTCCGGCAGAGCGAGTTTTTATTAAAAAAACTGACACAAAACAAAATTTAAAATCAAAGTATGACGCTGATTCAAATGTTATGTCGAAATCTTATCCTCAAGATAAATCTCAAGTAAAAGACCTATATGATCGTGAACATGCACCTTACACAAAGGAATATCTAGAGCCAATTTTATTTCATGGACCCACGGAAAAGGCTATCGTTTCAAATAAAAATACTCAGTATGTTATTGAATCCCCAATCAGCGAACAATCTTCAAATAGAAAGCAAAAGCACAATATATTAGGCGTACAATTGTCGCAACCAGTGCTAATCAACCGCCCAGAACAAGACGAGAACTATGACGATACTCTAAGAAACAATAAATTCGAAGTTAATGACAAAAAACAAAAAAATCGGCATGATTTGAATACATTAAACAATGTTCCGATTAATAGCGATACGTTGGACAACGATAAATATGATGCACAGAATCCCAATGACGAATCTCCAAACCCGAAAAGGTTTGGAGTACTTTCGCAAGTGAAAATAGCCGATGGCGTATTTAAGATACCTTTGGTAAGCCAAACAAGTGTTGATAATAATGGTTCCGAGTATGTGTCTGAAATTTTTATACCAATTGAAAAACCCGACGGTCGGCACTCGGCCATATCCCTTACAAAGTTATTAACCGGTGACTTTAAATTATTAAATGAGCCCGGAGTAGAAAATCTTTCAGTTATACAGCCTATACCTGAAATAGATTCAACTTTGGGTTCAACGTGTACTACAACAAACTGTGAGAGTTCAGATATTACTGATCATTCGGTCAATCCAAGTCCATCAAAGATTCTAGAAGCGATTAAAGACAACAAAAAACTATCTTCACCCATACATATAATTCAAATAATTAACAATGGTCAGTGTTCGAACAAGCATAACACTACTGATACTGTAAAAAAATCAGTACACGACGAGGATGAACATAAATCTCATAAATTCCGAAATGAAGGTAGAAGATTATCATCTCTAAGATTACAAAATACGCCTAATATAAATAGACAGATAGATCGAAAACTTGGAGACGCGTACAATCATTTTGATTCAGAAATTCTAGATAGGTTTCTACAAGTTTACTCTCCACATTTGGTTTGATACTTTGATATTGTTATAATATAAACTATACAGCCCAGACAAAAATAAATTATATTGATATATTGATTGCTTATTTTACAAGCAATGTAAACATTTTTTTTTTCATAAATATATGATCGATAACCGATGCGCTAGCTAAGATACAATGTTTTTTTGAACTATTTAATTATTTGTACATAATTTTATATTTTTATATCGATTATTTTTTGTTCAAATTTAAATTAGGTATTTGATTGTAATTAAACTTAAATGTATTTGAAAATTATTATTTTTGTAATAAGTAGTTATGATAAATGTCCTTATTCCTTATGTGTTCAGTCTTCAGTGGAATTGTAATAGTAAAATTAAGAAAGTTGTACCAGCAACAAAAGCCTGAAAAATAAAACAACAGGTATAAGAAAAATTTGTTTTTATTTATTTCGTATTATTAATTTTATATACATGATAATTAATACTGAACATATGGTTAGAAAAGTTTATTAAAAATTTAAAATACACTCTTGAAGAAATATATATTGCCTGGGTATCCATGTTTCCATGGTAATGAAAAATGAAAATATATTATGTTAAAATAGTGATTATAAAACCGGTTTATCTGTCGTATCTTGTGGTTTTTATCGTTTCCTGATTTTCCATGGTGATCATGGTATCACGAACTAACCACAATCAAACAATAAATGTCCAGAGTTGGAGCGACCTCAACTTTTTGACACAGCACGACAGATTATGTAGGTGCAATGTCATGTGAGACCGGATTTAGAAATATAATTAAAATATTTAATAATTGAATCAACTAATCTAATTTAAAGCTTTAATTTTCGACTTTCATAGAAACGTATGATTTTAATAAAGTATTAAATACCTACGAAAAATTAATACCGAATTATTAAATAGGTATATAATATAACTAATAAATTGATCAATATTAATATTTATTAAATTTCAACAACGATGGATGCTCAAGTACTCATCATACTTAAGTATGTATTTAAGATTTAAAAGATAATAAAAACTAATTGAAACATAATATTAACGAAAGTGTTTAAGGTCCATTAATTAAAAAAGTGTTGGTACAAGTGGTAGGTCGTGTAAGGTACATAAATCCTATTAGTTAATAATTAAAATGTATCTATAACGTATTTTAGTAACTCAAAATGAAAATTTTAATTTAAAAATGTACAATTGTTATAACAGATTATCTGTATGATGCATCATGGTTGTTATTGTGAAGACTTAAAGGGTAAATTTATTTTATTTTGATATTTTTTTCCAGTAAAATCGTTACCTACAAAGTTAATCCTTTGACTTTCGAGTATATTTACTGAATCCTATATTATTTTTTACAAATGAATACATAAATACATTTTAAATATTTTATAAATATTAACAATTTCAAAGATAGCTTTAATATGGTAACTTACAGAAGTAATGAGGCGAATGTTCAGTGTGAACAAATCACAAGTAGTAAATTCTACAGGACGACTAGACAATTGGCTTAAAAATAGTTGTAACTGCAACAATTGAAAAATTGTTAAAAGTTATCAAAATATTTTAGGTAATATAAAATAGAAATTTAATCTTACTTCTTTTTTTGTATTGTTATCTGTGTGACGACTTCTTATATCAGTTATAATCGTTTTTGGCCTATGTGCCTAAAATGTAAAAAAAATACAACCAGATAACAAATATGTTTCTTTAAACGTATAATAAATTATAAATCAAATAAATTGTCCCTTCATCGTCATATTATTATCGTAATATAATCTGAGCAATGCCAGGGTAGAGTTTACTCACCGGTGGAGGTGGAAGGCAAATTGTTTAAAAAATGCTGTATTCTATATCCAATATCTAAAGTTTTTATTCATAGAATATGATTGAATCTTAAACAAATTTTCACGAATAAATATTGTTTATAGGTATCTACCTATTTTTTTGTAAAAATCCATATTTAAAAAAAAACGAATGAGCTATATGTGCTTGTTCGTGTGGAGAATTAAATTAATTATTTAATAGGTAGATAGTTTCATTCGTCCTTAAATACACACGCATATAACTGCCATATAGGTGCATATCAAAGTAATAAAACGAAAAAGCAGTAAGTACAGAAACATCTTTAACCATACCTATCTAATTTAGTTTACTTCTTCAATAATGATTAATGACGGACACTCTAGTTATATTTTATAAGAATTATGATTAAAATAAGATAATTGTTAGATAAGGAAAAATCCTAGATTAGGCTGTATGATGGATGGGGTGATTGTCCATATCACCTTCGCCTTATTCCCTATTAATTCCTAAGGAAAGCTTAATAGTTTTTAGATTTAAAGTTTAAAATTAAGTTTTTAGTTATAATGTATTTTTAAATTTATAGAATATCACTTTTATTTGGTCAGAAGACAAAATGTGAAATGTTAAAAAAAATGAATTATTAAATCTAAAATACAATAAGTATTACAAATATTGAATAAATGGCTAAATAAGTATGGATTAGAAATTCAGTTACTGAATGTCATCGAAAAAAGTAGTACGATCGAATATCGTACATAGTTAAAAATGTAGTTGAAGGTACATCGTAGATGAATATTATCTAATATAATATTAACCCCTACAATGGTCAATGATAATGGATATGTCTCATTGAAAACGACACATTAAAATCCTCAGTTCTTGCACCCGCGACTGACTGCTTAGTTAGGACAATTAATTATTGTTATATTATATGACATAAATAAAATGAGACGCCATGGTACGTCTCAAACCTCTCACTACATACGGATCTTAAAATTGAAACAGTATCTAAAACAGCCAACAACTACTACAAAAATGTACACACCAAAACAGCTAACTACACAAATCCATTGATTTCCAACTTGGCCAGTGACTTCATGCCTAATAACCCCCCCCCCCCCATGTTGACTAAAAAGACACTGGTGTTGCGATCTCCTGAATCCCGAACTGCACTAATTAAAAAATAAATAAAACTCTCTCCCCCAAGCTAGAGGGTATCCACACTGGTGGGCCTGCCTCCTCATACCATTCATGTTGTTCCTTTATTATATTATAAAATTTACTTATTGTATGTATATAAATATTACAGATTGTAAATATTCTATTTTATCTAATAAAAAATAAAATGAGCAGCTACCTGTGTTGTAGTTACATGCGATGTCAATACGATTACACAAAATCTGAAAGAGTATTGTAGCAGCCATCCGTAGAATAGAACGTGCGTTTTGGTTACGTTGGATTCAACAGACATTTCCCCGTAAATATCGAATAATGTCATTATAAATAACAGACATATCGACAATCCCAATTGAATTCCGTACAAGTCGTTGAGTTCAACAACGATGCCTCGGACAAACTGATGCTTCATCCTGAGTAGTTCAACGTGGTTGGCTGGTTGCTGCACATTGAATATTGAAAGGGGTGAACCGCCGTGGGATTCCAAACCAATAAATAATGTGTTATTATAACTGTGTCTTTCACTTTGTAACACAACTGGATATTTATTTGTGACTATATTTTTTAGCTTCAGCGTGGCCATTTCTTCATTGATCGATTGGAATTTTTGGTACAAGCCGATACAGCGTACAATAAAATGTATTTCTGTGGAGCAAATGCTCCAATTGTGTAAGTACATCATTATATAAAAAATCATCGTGTTTATCTTTCCGAAATTGGAGTAAATTAAATAAATCCTTAATATGTTTATGGGCAGTATGATTACGATGTACGCAAATATTATAGCTATTGAAATGAAGCGAAGATGTCTTTTCTGGGAAATATTTACCGGAAAGTACAGTTCATACTCTTCAACTTTTTTCACGTAGTTCGGAAAATCACTCTTACTCTTGTACATAATCGTAATTCTGGATAAGAGGCATGCAATGGCAATAGATCGGGAGAACATAGCTAACACCTCTGTTTTTACCGAATTTTTACATTCAGACAACGAACAAACGGTGGCAGATGCATTTTTTATATTCATTAAACATGTCATTGCTAAAGCTACGAAGTATACTAGTTTTAGACTGAATAACAGTTTATTGAAATAGAACTTGAACATTATACTAAAGTAAATATCACAACATAACCCCGAATCATAAAAAAAAAACGATAGTGTGATGGACAAATTGTGTGTTTTAAAAAATATAATTGCTCAACGAATCGCGCAGAAAATGTGATGGACATTTGTTTACATATAATTATTTTAAAAAGTGGTATGTCATCATTTATAAGTACACATTATAAATATTGACTACTCTAAAAGGTTATCTTTTGGTGGAATAGTTTTCAATATTTAATAGCATATTATTAGCATCTATTTTGTTAAGTTTTTAAAATGAATACTATAAAAGATGAAAAGCTATTTTTAAATAATCTTAAATATTATAGGTAATAAGAGTTTGTATTGATTTCATTACTTTTTTATTTAACGGAACTGTAATAATATAACGATATAAGTAGTACCCGCGACTATAGCCTGAAAAATAAAATTATGCATTAATTAGAAACTTAAATTAAGTTAGACACTTTAAATTATTTTATATTTTGATGATATATGGGTAATATACATCTATATAGTACGTATTATATTCGTCAGGACTTAGATAACATTATATTACATGCCATTTTTATATACCATTATTAAACTTATTTTATAACATGAACATAATATTATATTATTATAGTATATGTGACGTTACCAAAAATAAAAACGAATTTATAGAAGTTCTGATACAACCACTATTAAACTAAAATAATAGATTATTCTTTACTTTATGAAGCAAAATAATATTTCAGTCTTTATATTACATTAAAGATGTGTTAAAACTTAAAATTGTTCTTTAAATAAAATAGTTTGACATTAGTAAACTTACGGAAGTAATGAGATGTGTATTTAAGGTTAAAAAATCAAAGGTCGTAAACTCCATTGAATGATTACATACTTGATTCAAAAACAGTCGTAACTAAAAAATAAAATAAGACTTTTACAAATAAAAAAGTCCATTTATTACAAAAGTAATGTTACCTCTTCTTTTGTTCTGCCATCTAAATGGCGATTATGTATATCAGTAATAAGTAACTTTGTTCTGTGTCCCTAAAATTAAGTAAAATTAGGTATTCAAATATTCAAATAAATATTTATAAATATATATATATATATATATTAAATAAAATATTCTATAAGAGTACAGCACAATCTACAAGACCTGCTAGTATTCGGATAATTAGTAATTAGACCAGAAAAAAATGTATGCTTTATGTTAAACTAAATTGTTTCATAATGGTATTGTCAAAACGATAATAACGTACTTAATAATTGCATTAGGTATCTATATTACCTATATTATATTATTACTACTTAATACCCAGGGCCATATTTAGAAAAGTCTTATGAAGGGGTGGGGGGAGGGGCACAAACGAAAAATTCTATAACTATGCATATAACTTATATTTTCCATCTCAAAATAATGTGATAATTTATAACCATATAACCAAAGTACATGTGTTTGATAGATACATAACATTTAATTAGTAAGAGAGGTTAATACTCTCAGTATTAATAAAGTATAAGTTACGGTGAATTGGCGAGGGGCCTATGTCCTTTCCTTAAATACATTCCTGCTCATAGGTAAATCTATTAAATAAGAAGATGTTTGCATTTAATCTTTTAGTGATACTTTATTTTACTTATTCTATCGTTCGTTATTTATTCGAAATGTATTTTATAACTAATGTCAATGTTATCATTTATTGTATTTTGTTAAATCAACAATTACCTCTTTCGTGGTTACATGTGACATCAGTATAACTATAAAAAATCTGAATATATACTGTGTTAGCCATCCATACAGTAGATGCACCGATTTAGTTATGACAATTTCGGTAGTTACGATTTCGTAGATATCAAACAACAACATAATAAACAAAACAGATACAGACATTCCCAATTGGATGCTGTATATTTCGTTCAAATCATGAACTGACTCACAGACAAATTGATGTCTCATCTTAAGTAGTTCAATACTGCGTACTGTGGGATACACTTTGATGTTTTTGTGTTCTTCGGATTTTAAAACATACGGGTATCTATTCATTGAAATAGTTTCCGACTTTATCATAGACATATGTTCGTTGATCGCTTGAAATTTAGCATACAATCCGAAACAATACACCAAAAACTGTATTTCTGTCATAGACATGCTCACATTTTGTGTGTACATTAGAAAAATGAATACTATTGCCTTAATGTTTTTATAATAATAATAAATCAAGTACATTCTGTATATGTTAATCGGTATTATCAGTATATAATATAGAAACACCGTGACAATAATTAAAAAACGTCGATAATTTTCTTTGTCAACGGTTATCGGATAGTAAACTTCATATTCCTTGATTTTTTTCTTGTACTTAGCCATCGCACTTATGTTTTTGCACACAACCGTTGTTCTAGATATCAAACATGTGATAGCTACAGCTCGTGGAAACATGGACACCATAGTCACAATCGTCGAATTGCTACAAACATTGAGTATACACATTACTTTTGGAGCTTCTATGTAATTATAGATACACGACAATAGCACTAGCACTGAAATCACTAATCCGATGTAGCGGAGAAATTTATAGTGAAAACAATTTAACATTATTATTTCTTTAAAGAAAAAAAAAACAATGTTTTTACAGTTACGTAAAAACCTTTTTTGTAAGTTATTCGGTTATTACCGTAACAATAGACTGCGAGTAAACGAATGGACAGCTGTCTGTTTTAATTACTAACTTTTGTTAGGTATCGTTATATTCGTTTTCATTATATTATGTTTGCTAGGCACTTGTAATAGTTATTGTTTACCAATCAAAAGAGTACTTATACACTAACTACACAGTTACACATTACAAATAATTTAAGACTTAAATTTATTTCCTTGTATAGTTCAATAGCTGTTGTATTATATGAATAATATGACATAAAATAAGGTCGATGGGGAGAAGTCCAAGTAATGTGACCCTCAATTTTATCGAAATCAAGGTTTTAACTAATACCTAATATAACACATCCAAATACATGTTTTTATTAAGTAACATAATCATCAAATTATTATTTCAATGCAAAATTCAATTTTCTCATTTAAGGATAGTGTAGCACTGTAACCAACAATATCAACATTTTATGGTCAAGTGATATACAGTATACTGTATACACCATTAAGTATTTGACAATAATTGTAAATGGTCCCAGTCAATTAATTTTATTTCCTTCTCTGTAGTCTGTAACCCACTATTATCTTGTAATGTTCAAACAATACACCTCTTAAAAGTTCATAATTTAACCCACCTTTTCAAGGTTACATACCAAGGTGGCAAGGTACATACCAATCCAGGCAAAATACTGTAACCCTCAACTTCATTCACTTTGAAGCATGAAGACCAATTAAAAAAAATATTAATTTCTCACTTGTAATTGTAAAATTATTTATTAAAATACGTTTTTCTTTATTGTTGGCCTCCCCGCCATCGAAATATATTAAAATAAAATAGAATAATTACAATAAATGGTTTAATTTTTTATATTTTTACTTAAGTTTCACGGTGTACAGAATATATCAAAAAAATGTATTAGTTTATAAAAACCAAAGATATTAAAAAAAACATAACAATTCACAGGTTTCTTAGGTAGGTATTCATAATATTTCATTGTTTCAAAACACGTAATGAATATTTTGGAATGATTACTTTAAATATTATTTTAATGTTTGAAAATGCAAGTAGGTATAATTGAAAATAGTTTACCTAGTTGAATTGTAATAATATTACGAGATATGTCGTTGCAGCAGCAATCGCCTATAAACAATATAAATAAAATAAATACCATTAATTAATCGCATAAAAATATAAAATAATACATAAACAACAAACATATAAACACCTTCGATACACTACTCATACTTAATACCTAGTGGTGGAGTTATAGGGATAGTACAAACTATGATTTATAACTTGGGGCCTGGTGTGGCGCGGTGGTTAGCCGCAGTCTCTAATGTGAGCTGTTATCAAACATCGTCCAGATGGATGTACACACGGGTTTTTTGAGACCAACCCTTGCCCTCACATAAAACGCGAATTCCAACCGTCCCAACCGTAACCCCCACATAAACCTTATGGTTACTGAGGCTAAAAAAAAATTATGACTTGTAAAAATGCCACTATTTTGTTTGTGTAGGTATAATTTGAACGAACCTGGGTAGTTGTGTGCTGAAATAAATTATACTAATATTTATTATAACCTATAATAGTAGGTATACATATGTAATAACTAATATATATTATTTATATAGGTACGTATTGTAGTATCAATTGATAATTTAATGACTTTACAAATTAGAAAGAGCTCACTGAAATTCTTTTTTTTTAACGAAGAGGTTACCTTCCCTCCCTCTTTGTCCCACTCAGACTTATATAATACCCTGTATTTTTTCTAGAGTATGAATACATTTTTAAGTTGGTTTACAGCATAATATTATAATATTATATTTAACTTACAGATGTGATTAGATGAGTATTCAATGTGAAGAAATCGCAAGCAGTAAATTGAATCGCACAACTGCACATTTGATTATGGAACAATTGTATCTGAAAGTAAAAATATAGTAGTCTGATCTTTAAAGATATATATTTAATGAAAACAAATTTGCATACCTCTTCTTTCGTATTCCTGTCTAAATAACGATTACTTATGTCCGTAATGAGTATTTTAGATTTTAGTGCCTATAACAAATATTATACATTTTAATGGTAAAATATAGGACAATCGTGAAATGAGAATGTTTCACTATTTTTTTTTATCTAGGTTACTTATTATTTTTAATTATTTTTACATAATTAAAGATGTTTTTTGCAATACTTTAAAAATATCATTGTTTTTTGAAACTGATTGCTAATTATGTGATTTACCTTTTTTTAAATTTTTTTCGTGTTATCGACTGATGCGATTTACCTAAATTTTATTGTTGTACCTATAAGCTATAATCTAAACAGTATATAAATATATCATGTTAGCATCTAAAATTAATTATAAATATTCTAATTAAATGCAGGCTACCTACCATCCAAGACTGTAAAATATAATGTAAATGCATGCGTTATGCACTCATGTGCTATGCATTATGTTGTTTAGAACACATGTATACATTATTTTTATTCCCAAACAATTTCGAAACCTAATTTATTTTTAACATTTTCAAAATGTTAATAGTTCCGTGTATTTATATTACATCTTCCTTACTTCCTTAGCCTACCTTGCCAGCTAGATATCCACGCTGCACACTCGAAGTGGATACCTACACTCAATAAATTTGCCTAACCGATTTGGACGGGGAGGGATTGAATCCAAAAACTGTTCACTCAATATGCACTTCACCACACTGCAGACATGTGACGTTTTTTCTGTATACAATATTACTGTATGAAAAAATACACATTTTGGGTCCATAATAATTATTAGTCACCTCGAATTTGGTTAAGTAATTTCCCGTCGCCAACGCTATGTGATCGTAATCCGCAATCATTACACTGTTGAAATGTATTTAATTATTTTTTTACAATAATATAATTTTGAGACATCGGAAAAATGTACTCATGACAGTGGTATTGCTAAATTGACTATCTGGAAGCCGTGTTATCGTTATTACAGCATTGAAATATACTTATATTTCTTTTTCAAAATGATAATGATAATTGTGCGATATAGTAAAATTAACTTAACGCTGGAATGGAAAAGCAAAATGTCATGATATTAAGAGCTCGGTTGTGAGAGGAGCATAAAAAATGAGTAGGCTTTATGTTGGTGAAATGTGTAAGACGTACATAATACTACCTACATATACTTCAGACACAACTTTAAAATACCTCGGTAGATATCTAAAATATTAGTACACTCGATATCTTAGGTCTATATGTGCAGCATATTTCGCAAACAGTTCCAGCAGCATCGCCGATAACACGAAAAATAATGGTCCAGATGTGCTTATGACATACCATCTTCTATTACCGTGAGATGATATATACAAAAATTACTACACGCAGTTTATAAATTGAATTTTTAAAAACATTTTACAAATTTAAAATATTATATCGATTATAATGTCGTATTGTGAATAACGTAGTGAACCCACGAATATGTCTTATCACTCATAGACCTTTCATAATAATTCAATTTTTAATTCACTTGTTTTGATGTTAGGTGCGCTAGAATTGTAATGGATCCAAATCGAACGCTGTATTGTAAAATCCAACCGTATATTAGTATATTAGACTTGGTCGGATTCATTATTCCCCGAATATGATAGTACAAGTCAAACATGGAGAACAGACACAGCGAACAGATGGACAGTCCCAATTGAACTCCAAACCAATCGTTCAAGTTGTTCATTGCTTCGCGGGCCAATCTGTGTTTGACTTTAATTTGCTCTACAAAGTTGGCCATCGAGTGACCGGCGGCCAGCGTTTGCAAAATATCTCTGTTGTAATCGACGGTGTTAATGATTTTTCCACATTTTTCTCTTGCCCTCAACATGAACGGGTATTTGTTGCGTACGACTGTATCGATTTTAAGTGCCATTAAATCTTTGTTGATACCAACGAACTTTTGGTAGAGGATAAAACACAAGACGGTAAAATGAGTTTCTACGCAATACATACTCATGTTCTGAACGTACATACAAACGAAAATTAATATTGTAAAATCCGCTCTGTAAGCCATCTTCCACAGTCTAAAAGAATTTACTGGTACAGTTAGTAATAAACATAATACCACAATTCGAGTTGATACTTTTTTCAATATTTCCGTTTCAAATCGTGTCATTGGTTTAAATAAGTGAAATTTTTCTACGTTTCTCTTGTACTCTATCAACTTATTATTACCTTTAAGGAATATAACTAGTCTTGATATCATACAAGTACTAGACACTACTCTTATAAACAGTCCCTTTATTACTGTGGATAAAGAACCATCGCATCTTCCATCCAGTGCACATACAACTGCAGGTGTCATGTAGAAATTATAAGCAGATGATATTATTAAGAACGTAGAAAAAACGATTTGCCATTTATTGTAATGGAAATCGATAGAAATTACACTAAACATTTTCCAAAACAAAATAGGCCATTTTGGAATTAAACGAAACATAGCTAGTAGACTACTTGACTTCCCTACCCACTTTTAAAAACTTGTACTATTTCGTATTTAAAAGTAAAATTCACACTGTTAACCTAAAATATGAATGGTTTATGGGCACCGAGGTAAAATAAAACATAAACAACTATATTGTTTACTCTGTATGCAGTACAATATGGGTATTATAATATTTTAATAATTAAATTTTATTTTTAACAGACGCGTTGTTTTTTAATTTATTATTAACTAGAATAACTTTGATGACAAACATACACAATAAACGTACCTTTATTACAATAATAATAATTACGAAATAATAATAATTATTATTTTTATTATTTTTCTATAATTTTCGAAGTGTATGAAATATTTAGAAAATGTTTTGTGTATTATGATTAGTGATTACCTTAGGAAAGAGATATAGTTTCATTTTAGACTCAGTAGGTTAAACTCGTTAATTAATTAAACCCACAATCATAATTCAGATGTTAATTTTTACTCGTATAATTAAAAAAATATCGCTAAAATAGTATGCTACGCAAATAAATATTTATACTGCTTAAATAATCTTAAGGGTTTAAACGGAATATAGCTATTCGCGGTTTGCAGTTTATTAATTTATTATTTATACAATAATGAGCATTATTTAATATCGGTTGTAGTAACTTTTAATACAATATGTTGAATAAATTATTAATAAATATATAAAACAATTTAATGTTTAAATATTGTACTTTGGTATTTGTATTAGTTCTTTGCATTACGCCGGCTTACTGTTATAAAATTGTTGTTTAAAAACAGAGTAATGTATGTTGGTGATTTTTAATTTATTTTGTTCAATCGATTCGTAATAATACAACAAGATATGTTGTCCCTGTAGCAAAAGCCTAAAAAAACAAAAAAAAAAAACAAATTAAACAAATAAATTTCGTATGCTATATCAATTCAAAGTGAATATTTTTTTTTTAGAATATAGGTAAATTTTATATTTATTTCTCATTCATCACTAATCTCAGAATCTAAAATAATATGATATCCACATACTTTATATTGTAGGACGTAATAAAAACGATAAATCATCTATATATAGTTGTTTTAATCAAACTAATTAAACATTTAAACCCAACTGTTACGACATTAATTATGTTTACCTTATTAGTGGCTTACAAAACGCATGGTGTACTAAGCAGGTTGTCAATGAAATTATCATTGTTTTTCATAATATTAAGATTTCTTTAGTTGCGAAATTATAATTTAGGTTAACTAATTTATATACTTGTAACGTATTTTGTATATTTGATCGTTTTGAAATGGACTTTTGGTGCATGGCCGCATGGGTAAATAGTATAAATATAGATTACAAAATAAATCTTTTGTGTGTACGATTATTATATTATTTACATAAACATGAGACTATAAATTCTATACTTCATAGTTTATACACATAAAAAGTATTTCGAGTCCATTGTTGTGTTAAAACGATTTTGAGGCATTTTGTCGTGTCCGTCTTAGCGTCAGCAGAACAAATTAAAAAAATAGAATGTTTTTAGTAGTTATTTGTTATTAAAGAGGTCTAATGATATTTATAGACTGTTGTATAGTATAATATAGTCATAGTATTATGATATCATTATTTTTTTTTTAATCATTTCATATACTGTATAATGTATATTGTTATAACAATTTACACATCTTTAGCTGCCTCCAAAAATCCAAAAAGACATTCGTTAATAATCATTATAACGGTATATTTTGATTTTAATTATATTACGATGGTTTCCGTTGTGCACTTTTTTATGGACTTAATTGCTGTTTCTATACATTTTTGGCTGAGCTTGTTCTTTTTTTGGTTTTTTTATTATTCGATAAAGATGTATTTTACATGTCGTTGTTATTACCTAGATATGTTTCACAGTATATACTTATTTCTACTTGCAGGCTTACAGCATAGTGTGAACAATTATATAAACATATTTTATACATATGACCGTTGTTTAGCGTTGAGACTAAATTGTAGTAACTAAAACGTTCATTCTTCTGGAGGACAAAAACTTAATAAATAAATAAAAAATGTTAATATATTATTAATCAAAAAGAGATATCAAAAATCGTTAATTATAGTTTATATACCTGTCACCTGACCTAGTATATATGAAACTAGTAAATTTGTTTACCAAAAAGTAACGACAAAATGTTCTACATCCATATGAAATATAATTCAGGTCAAACACATATTCTTATTTATTTTAATTATTTTATTTTATTATTTAAGAATGACGATAATATGGAATTAATGATGTATAGGTATTATACCTATGTATTATTATTAAATAAGTTCATATCAATAAATGTCAACAACTTTACTAAAATACATTGAATAGTTCATCCAATATAGATACTACTAATAATTTAGCACTTACAGTAGTTATAAGATGAGGGTGTAATGTGAAAATATCGCACGAAGTAAATTCCAATGAACGACGATGTATTTGATCAAAAAATAAGTCTAACTATAAAAGTGTAACATTAGTAGTATGGTTCAATAATTCAATATTTGTAGTAGTTTATGAAAAATATAATTTTTACCTCTTCCTTTGTGGTTTTATCTAAATATCGATTATTTATATCAGCTAGAAGCATTTTCGTATTGTAAGCCTAAAAATGAAAATTAAATAGAATAACATTAATATAGTAAGTGTCGTTCAAAATATTATAAAAATCATATAATGTAGTGCATTATTAGTTTTGTTATTTTATATTCATTTGAGTTTATATTGTGATAAAATAAACACATATATAACATACAGGATTCAACATTATTTTAATAATAATTCTGTGGTTTGAAATTTGTTGATAAACTAAGTATCCTACTCTCCTTAATGGTTGTACAAAAATCGAAGTTTTTTCAAATACTTAAATCTTCTATGGGTACTATTTAAGTAGTATCCTGTGGTGGAACAGACTTTTTTTCAAATGAGAACTAATAAAAATGGTGATGTGCATTCGAAAATAGGAGTTGGCATCGTCACAACACACCATTTTGATGATAGGAACAATTCTAAGTATTTTAAACAGGGTCCTTAGTAATATCCCGTGTGAATCATCCTGCATATTTATATTATACTTAAAGTACAATACCATTGATTTATAGATTAAGCGTATACAATAATCCATACTCAGTAGTCAGTATTTATGAGGATTACTATTGAAAATACACATTTTTTCAAATATATTTTTTAATATTTATCAAACCCTATAGATAATTTGTTTGAATTTGTTTAAAGTGTAAAATAATAAACGATAGGCTTGTTAAATTTCGACTAATAAATTGATTAATTATTATAAAGATTCCGTGGAGAGGTAAATGTAAATCATGTCTCACTAGATAGTCGTCAATGTTAAAAAAAATATATACATTATACTACTTTAGTGAACCAAAAATAAATAGTTTTAAGTTCATAATTTTATGTTATTATTTATACCTCACTTCTGATGACTAACAATTATCATAAATTTGTAAAAAATGTACGATTGAAAAATTATAAACTATAATAAGTGGCCTTCATATTATGTAAATTAGGAAATCAAGATTTTAACCAAAACCATGCGGCTGGACATTGGGGGAGGGTGTTACACGCTGATATAGTTGTATGCATATTGTAATATATACCTAAATTATATAGATTATAGAAACTTATTTCTGAATGTTTTAGATCAAAGGTGTAATATATTAACATCATAATATATTGCAATCAAATAATATTACTTACTTGTTTTGTGGTCAAATGTGATGTGATTATGATTGCAAAACATCTGAATGAGTATTGCAGTATCCATCCGTAAATTAATATTTTAGATCTCGTCTTGGCATCTTTAGCGTTTACTTCTCCGTAGATATCGAATAAAACCAAAATGAATAAGAAAACTAAAGACGACCCCAGCTGAATTTCGTACAACTTATTAAGGTCTCGTAAAGCCCCTCTGACGAACTGGTGCTTCATTCTAAGTAGTTCAATACTATTGGCTAACGTATGATATTGTGAACTATTAATGTCTCTGTGTACTTCATTTCGCAACACGACCGGATATTTGTTTTTAGATATAGTTTTTGTTTTCATCACGGCCAACTCTTCATTGATAATTTGAAATTTTTGATATAACCCAAAACAACGGGCAATAAAACCAATTTCTATCAGGCAAATGTTCCAATTTTGTATGTACATCGTTGTAAAAAAAATTAAAATCTCAATTTTGTGATTGTTATGATGAATCAAATAAAGCCTTACTATATTTAATGGCAGTATGATACTGATATATGCGAATCCAATAAATATAATAAAAATATTCCGTGATGATTTTTGAGAAACATTTATTGGAAAATATAATTCATACTCTTTGATTTTATGATTGTACTTGGGAAAATCGGTTATATTTTTTATCATAGTCGAAATTCTAGAGACAAAACACGCGACGGCAATTATTCGAGGAAACATAGAGTTTACAGATGTTCTCAATGCGTCTTTGCAAATGACCAATGAACAAACATATGTAGATGAATTTAAACAGCTATATACACATGTCATAGCTAATGTTATAGAATACATTATTTCTATAGAGGATTGCAGTTTATTTAAACAGGACTTAAACATTTTTAAATAACGAAACACATAGCTGAATAGATAAAAACATGAAAACAATTATACGAACAGGGAATCGTGAGTGAAAAAGGTGTAGGTGTCGCATAGAAAATATTAAAAAATAGATACTTACGCTTGTTTATTCAATATGTACCGGGTAGGTACTCATTTTATATGTACATTGACAATCAACTACTTGGAAAAGTCAATTATAAACAGAATGCTTCTCAATATTTAATATTGTTTATTTTGAAAAGTTTTTTCATTATTAACTTCCTGGTTTACAAAATCATTAAAAAAATATCATAAGCAATTTGTTTATATAATATTGTTCATTATTTCTAAATTAGTTTATAATTGCAACAGATAAAGTTAATTGAATAAAAAACTTCATTTTATTATGATCCATTAATTACAAGCTATAATAATTTTTGTTTTGATTTATGTTTAAGTCCATCAAAACTTGAGTCAGTATGATTAAAATTTATATTTGGTTCAAAGTCTGCAATCAAGTCAATAGTATAAAAAAAAGTATTTATCAAATGCATACAGATAATTGTATAACACATTTAAAATTTTCATCACACGGTGCATATTGTATATTTTTTGTGTCCAAATATCTTTTAAAAATAATCCAAGTTTGTTCTTAAATCTAAAGATTACACATGAATTTTTTTTACATTTGAGAACAATTTAAAAATACATTTTTAAAACTTAAACATTTTATACATGTCCATTAATAAATTTTACTTAAATAATAATTATTAAATAACTGTGACTTACTACATCCTTAATTTAATTTGTACTTCAAATTTAAAATATTTTTTAGTCTTAAAAAGTAATGTTGCATTAGTTTAATTTGTTTTGTTATCTAACGAAACTGTAAAAATATAACGAGATACGTTGTACCCACGACTATGGCCTGAAATAATTAAAATATGCATGTATTAGATTCTAAAATAATTTTCTATATAATAAGTAATAAACCATATCTGGAAGTAATAATGTATGATTATTGATATTTATAGTGAATCGAAACACTACACGCAAATACGCAATACGTTAAAACAAAATTGGGGGAACAGATAAAGTGGGCAATTATATATTATAAGTTATAAGTTAAAATATATAATTGTCCACTTTAGTTTAAATGTTATAATTTATAACATTTAAACTGTAAGTGTATTATAATAGATTCGATTAATATATCTATTTAATATTATGATACGTCTGTCATAGGTAAGTCTTAAAATTTTACATTATCGGTATACCAATGATTTTAATAATAAATTTAAAATGTAAGTATAAAATCAAATAGGGAATTACATTGAAAACTTTAGATGATTTGTTATCATTGTATGATTTGCATTTATTTTTTCTTAATATTGTTTACAAAGATTAAGACATCATAAGTCATAACCCTATCTAGTATTTGGCGCGATACACAAGCACAATATACAAATTACTGCATCGGCGTAGAATGGGGGGGGGGCTAAAGGGGCTAAGCCCCCAGAATTATGTTATAGCCCCTCTGAATTTGCAAGAAGTTTTGGAAGCACCATCGACACCACAAGGAAAAAAAGGCTATATATACCCCCCCCCCCCTAAATAAATTCTTCACGTTACGCGTTATTCACGTTTTTTTACGCCTATGTAAAGTAGGCAATCAAAAATATGAACTTTTATTCCGACTTCTGAGAACGTTATAAAAACATTTTTTATAAGTTAAAAATGTATCACGAAATTTAAACAATCTTTACTAATATATAAAGGAGAAAAATGGTTCGTTTGTTTGGGGTGATCTCAGGAACTTTCAAACCGATTTAAAAAGATGTTTTACCATCAGAAAACTACACTAAACCAAGGATCTATAGAGGTATAGACTATATATTAATATTTTTATCTCGATAATGGCCCCTAATTTTTTTTTTATTGCAAATTTGAAAATTTTTTATAGACACGATAGAAATAATTTTAATAATATGTTTTTGTTTGTTATAGGGTTGCTATTGGTTACAACATTTAGTATAGATGAATAAGAAATTAGTAATTGATAATTACTTTTTTAGGTACCGATTTTCAAAACTGTTTTACCTTAACAATAAGCTAAAAAATGCAAAAAAAATCAAGTTATTATTATTGAATATGATTATAAACCTGACTGATAGACTGTGTTAAAAATCTTTAACGGATATTAAGATGGGGTTAGTTCATGGAAATTTGCCACTGTAAGTTTTAAACATCACTACGCAGCGTAATACATGACAAATCGAACACAAATTATGAATCACATCAAGTTGATATTTTTAACGGTCAACGAAGTGCACGCGATTAGGTGCTAGTATTTTATAACTTCAAATTGCTAAGACTTTGAGAGGAAGTATGAATAGCCAATAGTTTTGATTTGGTCATTACATTCAGTAACTCGATCAATTAATTTTTATTAAATTATCTTTTTTTTTAAATTTTATAACTATAGATTGAATTTATGTACGAAACTCATCAGTTACTCGCCCTTTTATATGTATACACTTATTATACAGAATGTCTATTATATATTTTGTATTTTAACAACCTGCGATTAATATGGTTATGTAATATGTATTATATTATAAATGAACTTACAGAAGTAATTATTCGTGTGTTTAGTACAAACAAATCGTAAATCGTAAATTCCACCGAACGACTAGATAATTCCTTCAAAAACAACCGTAGCTAAAAAAATAAAAATTGTTTGTTACAAGCACTGTTGTAAATGTACTACGGTATTCGCGGTTGTACATCTTTAATCATCTTTAATCTTTACAAATGTATTATTAATAGTATGTTAAATGTAAAGCGGGTACTGGCGTATAGCAAACCATGTTATAACCATAGACCTAATACCAAGTATAAGGTCTATGGTTATAACTCGTCCAGTGAAGCCGAGTTTTCAATACACCGTGAACCATGCTCCGTGCATTTGTATTTTGTATAGATATCTTGATTGGCTAAACCACGTGGTTGATAGCAGGTATCATCTGGTTCTTATACATGGTATGCCAAGTTGACCAATGATAACATAAAGTTAAATTTGATTAAACTTTTTACCATGTGGTAATACAGCGAGATGTACTACTGATTACCATTAGTGACCAAGTTACCAAGACACTACAAAACACCACACCAACTTACAGAATTGTACGTGTATGATAACGAAACACGGTGCACGATGTATAAATTGGAAACTCGGCTTTAAAGTCATCTCTGCCCTCGGCTGACGTCACAGAGTATTATATACGTTCATGGTAACAAGCACGGTTTAAGATAGATAGTTTATCTTAAAACATGGTCACAGGTAATGAATTACCAAAATATATTTGAAAATTAGTATAGCTATTTGCAACAATATAATATGAAAATAACGGATTTTTAGTCATTAATACCTAATAATTAGTAAATAATAAATATCATGATGAAATAAGTAATAAGTAATAACCAATACATTGAATGTTAATTTGTTATGATAAATATCAGCTTTTAAGTTGGATACAAAATGTTTAAATCATATTTCATAATATGAACGCCTGATTTTGTGACAACATAAAGGGTCACAAGAATGGAGGGGAAGTGAATTTAGTACATGACACAAACAAATTTGCAAAATATTGCTGACGTACTTAGTACTTACGTTTTATTTTTTGTTGATTTTGAAACTTTTATATAATCTTAATAGTTGTCATCAATTTACATAATCAATGTATGAAAAGGACTTAACTAGGTGAAAGGTCAGTCTGTGAAATCACCACCCCCCTTAAAACTGCCATTATCATTACTAACCTCTTCTTTTGTATTGTGGTCTGTATGCTGATTATTTATATCAGTTAAAATTGTTTTTGATTCATTTGCCTTAAAAAAAAAACGATTATGAAGAGTAAAATCTAAAATAGAATAAATAGATATACCTAAAAAATGCAACACAAAATGGATGAAAATGTAATCTAATTTATATAGGGACTATATTATTATATACGTACATTAAACGTTAAATTTTAATAAGTGTTATTAAATGTTGTGTAATACGCCTTTACACAACTACATTTAATAATTACAAAATATATGTACAACTTAAAAAAAATCATCTCTTAAACACATTCTATTATGTCACAATTTTTAATCATAATAATATATTATAAACATTATAGTAAGTATTTGTGAAATATTAATACCTACACGATAGTTGTTAATATTTAGAGAGTAACTATCAATTTTAAGTTTTGGAATGAAAATTCTTTATATATACTTGCATGTGTAATAGAAAAAAAATATAAACAATAAATATTTAAATACTAGGAGTATGTTTCTGATGTTGATAATATCATATGGTCTAGTACTTATAATTCTTAATCGCTTAGATTGAACTATTAGAGGACATGAGAATTAAAATTGGTGACAAAAAAATATATATTATGTTATTTTCAATTATTTCATTTAAAATCTAATGGATAGCCGGGAAAGCATATTACTCAATTTAATTCAGAAATCAAAAACGTGAGTTACAAATCCGATTCATTTCACAATTTTATAGTTTATAGATATCTACTATTAAAAATTATTGAAAATAAATGAATGATGACGGTGAACAAAGTGGGATACTCTATACACGAATTATATGTATAATGTATATTGTCAAGGCTTAGGTTTTATATCATTTGCATACTTGGGTAAAATCAACTCAAAAATAACTAAGTAGGATACAAGTTTGCAAATACAAATAATTAAAACATTGTACTTTAATATATTATTTTGTTTAATTCTGCAGGTTTTCAAGTTTATTTTACTGCAGTACAGGTATTTTAGTAAAAAGTGGCATGAAATCCGAATAGGTATTTGTTCACTATAGAATATAAGGAAAATCTCAAATTATGTAAATGCTTAAACCAAAATAATGATAATAATATCTAGATTATCATAGAATTGTATTTTATATTATAATATCTGTTTTATTTTGGGATTTTCAATTTTTACAGTAATTTACAAACGTCACGAAACCACTTAGGTAGCAGGTTATCTGAGTAGAAGAGTAGGTACCTCTGAAAATCTCAAGAAGCCACAAGGACGAGGCCCTTCCCTAGGGCACAATAAAAAATGAAAAAGGTACTTGTTAAATGAAGACAATGAAATCACCCATGCTAGTGACAATTCCTATAAATTTTGTTGAAAATATGTATACTTGAAAGTAATTATAGTGCGATCGATTTATAGCTTTGAGCCGATAGTGTTAAACTGTTAAATATTCACAATTACCTGTTTCGTAGTGACATGTGTTGTCAGCACAATCGAACAAAATCTAAATGCATACTGAAGCAACCATAAAAATAGTAACCAATACTTTTCGATCATATTAAACTCCGTCAACACGACATCGTAAATATCAAACAATGTCATTACAAGTAAAATAAATAAAGACAACCCCAATTGGATGTTATATATATCGTTCAGGTCACTAGCTGAGTCGCTGACAAATCGATGTCTCATCTTCAGTGATTCGATACTATTAACCAATTGGCACTCTTTGATTTGTTGACAGAAATCATCATTAAAATCCTTACTATAACGAATGCTGTTATATTGTCCAGGGTTTAATACTGCCGGGTATCTGTTTGTGACGATCGTTCTGGATTTCAAAACAGCCATGTCGTCGTTGATGGATCGGTATTTTTGATATAATCCAAAACAATAAGCAACAAACTGTAGTTCGGTAATACATACACTTGCATTCTGTGCATACATTATTGAAAAAAACAGAACCATCGCGTTATCTCGGAATTGGCCATAAAGTAAATAAATTCTAAGCACATTAGCCGGCATTATTATAATAATATATAGAGACACCATCACATAAACGAAAATGCGAAAATTTGCTTTATCGATATCCACTCGGGGATAGTACATTTCGTACCTTTCGATATTCTTCTTGTACTTAAAAGCCGCTCTAAAATTCTTGTACACAAAGGTTAATTTAGATAGCATACATACGATAGAAACTGCTCGAGGAAACATAGATATCATAATCGTAGCTTTTGATGAATTGCAATTATTTAGCTTACACATAAATTTCGGAGACTCTATACAACTATAGACACACGAAAACACTAAAATTATAGAAATAACTACTCCGACATTATCATAAAATGTAATAAAATAACACATTATCACTAAAATAGAATATTATGTTCATACGAATGCGTGTATAGCAATTGAATATTTATTTAAAACCTAGCAAAGGACTGCGAATTAAGTAACGAACAGGTGAGCACCTGTCTATTTTGATAGGAAATTATAACAACAATAATTAAGATGCATCATTATTTTTTATGAATTTGTTATTATATTTACTACTTAAAATTTGTGTTCCATTTAAAAAGTACATAATATTCAATAATTATTATTTATTCATAAATTCTCAAACAATCGCTTCTTACTTAAAAATGTAAAATATCCCAGTCAAGTAATTTGTGGGAGGTGTAATGCGTTTCTACTAAAAGTGTGCCTGTCACCAATACCAGTTTCCACAAAAAACTGTACACTGCCCCTTTCTTATGATAGCTGCTTCTACCAAAATAATATTTTTACAAACTAATTAAAGCTGGTATACGGCAATTTTATTTAACATATTATAAAATATTTAAAAAGGATACATTTTAATACAATTATTTTTGTAGTGTAAGAATAATATTTTTATTATTAAGCAATAATAAGAAATATAGTATATAAATATACATAAGTAATACAAATAAAATGTATAACATAACTTATAATTACTTATATTTTTTCTTTTTTAATTTTAGGATTCACTTTTTACAAAATAATACCGAAAACTTATTTATTCTTATAAAAATATAAAAATTAACTATAGGTTTTGTTTAATTTAGATATACTGTAAAATATATAAAATACATAAAATTTATAATTCATACTGTTTTTCAATATTTTATAGTATTTTAAATACATTTTCTATATAACAGCTTGTATATTTAGTATTAGAAATGGGAAACTGAAAAGGTAAATTTTTGCGGTGGAAATGGGTATTACCATTTGTATATCTAAACAACTTCATTTTGCCCTGCTTAAATCTTAATAATATTTCTAAATATCTAATCATTTAGCTATAATATAATGCTAATAAGGTAAAAGCTATAATAAAAAAAATACAAAACATATATTATACTAAAATAATAATATTTATAATTTACATGGGGTACGAGTATTTATTTGTCAGTATTATTTCTATTTTATTTCATTTAGCGCACATATTGAAACAACACAATGAAATATGTTATGACTGCAAAAATACTCTAAAAATAAAATAATAATAAATATTAGAAAATAATTTTATACTACTTCCAATAAAATAACATAATTGTGAATTTTTATAAAATAATGTTCTTAACAATATCATATGGATGTACTACGATGTAGAAAAAATATCGAAAAAATTAATTGTTTTTCTATCTACAACGGGTTGGCATCACGAGTCTATTGTTGATTGCCATTTGGATATGTAATTTACCTACATGTTTTTGATTTTTAAAGTGAAAGGAATATCGAACAGACTTTATACCTATAGGGCTATAGGCTAGAAAGTTTACGGACACGACAAGTTAAATTTCCAAAATGCCAACATTTACTAGGAGAGGGAATAATCTGAGCTCACAAAAATATTGTGATTTAGATCCATAAGTACAAATTGCAGTTTTAGGTAAACCGCATTATATATTAAATAAATAAATAAAAGGCCTATTTAGTTAGCTCTGGTGGACAAAGTACTGGAATAAATGCCGTCAAATTTCGACGATGATTGACTATACCTAACACCGTTTTGGCGTTTTATCTACATCGTGGGTTGTTATTGAAAAATTTTGAAAATGATTTATTCTCATTTCTTTAAAACTATACCTTTATATAGAAATACTCCAATACACGGTTTGGATATAAAATCATAGAATAAAGATTACAATGATATAAATATTAATAATTAATATTTGATGTAAATAATATTACAGTCATAGAGCAAACATAACATGCCTATTGCTGTAATATTTTAAATTTTAAAACAATATATTTTTTTTTTTAGGATGGTACGGTAGGGAGTTTTTTTTATAGGTTTAGTAGGTTTTTTTATGTTGGTAGGATTGTAGCATGTGTTTGTGTATGTGTGGCAAGTATGTGTTGCTAAAAATCCAGGTGGTCACCCATCCGAGAGCTAGCAACGTCGGCCGGTACGTACACTCGAAACTTTTCCACAGATTGAGCGTACGACCGCGCCTCACCAAGCCATAAACAATATATTATGTTGACTTACAGAAGTAATGAAGTGTGCGTTTAATGTGAAAAAATCGCAGGTAGTGAATTCCATTGAACGACGTAATATTTGATTGGAAAATAAGTATAACTATAAATTCATAAACAAAAAACATTTTAAAATGTGCAGTTGGCATTCATTATTAAACAAGCTTTTGTTTACCTCTTCCTTTGTGCTGATATCTAAAATTCGATTGTTTGTGTCTGATACAATCATTTTTGTTCTATACGCCTAAAGAATAAAAATAGTGAGTGTATAATATGAAATATGTTATGAGTTATGACTTATGAACTATTATTATTTTAATATGTATAACGACTTCCAACAAAAAAAAGATTCTATGCCCACTATAAATACCGAATATAAAGTTAATTTTATCATCTGAAAAATAATAAGCGATTTGAGCGCAAAATTTTCAGTGTATCTGATCACAACGTGAACGTGCCCTGCAGAAAAAGAATCGAGCCCGGCAAAGAAATATAGTTGGTAAATATCTACAATATTGTAAAGTACTCGAGTAAAAGTATTTGAGCTAAAGTATTCATTTAAGTTAACCACCGTGGATTTAACGAGAATTTATTTATTTTTCTTACTGTGAATACGCAACCAAAATTCAAATAATTCGACAAGAAAAATCAGAAGAGTATATTTTTATAGCTGCACCAAATGATACGGTGTGAAATCCTCTATATAATTAATGTAAGACATAAAAATCGGTTCAGTTGATTTATTAGGTAAACAATTTATTTATAAAAAAAAAAATGAAAGTAGGTATCTATCTACTCATATTTTTTTTACTGAGCATTCAAATATGTATTTTAAATACTCTTCAAAATAAGTATCTATATCTGCATTTGAATACTTTTAAAAACTAAGTGTATTTTACAAAACTGTCCATCTATATCATAGACAGTCTTGTAAAGTATTCGAATACTTGTATTAAAATACTTTTTGAAGTATTGTTTGGTATTCTACATAGAATTTTTTTAAAGTATTTTTTACAAGACTGATTCATAGACCTTATATACTACCTACTACACAAGGACTGTGTATAACAACAACATTATTAGTGGCGCACAAACATTTTGAGTTGATGAGGCTGTCTATGGCTCGACGACAAAATGCAATCACCTATAAATCTTATCCTACTACCCCGTACTACTAGATACATATTGAATAAACGAGTAAACAAAAAACGCCCTCTATGTTGTTACAATTTCCAGACACTCATTACTTGTCTAGTAGTATAAGTCCTATGACCTATATAGGTATCATTAAACATGCTCGTCACTCCGTCAGGACTTGGAACCTTATTAAAGAATATTACGACCGTGAAGGCGCGGGATTCATATAATCTGGGTTCGGATTCTATTCATTAAAGATTAACTATAATATTCTCTAAAAATAAAGTAAATATTAAATTGTTTTTTATAATAATTATTTCTCATTAGATACGTTTTATTTAAGAGTGAAACAAAAAAAAAAAAACGAATATGTTCTTGAATTAAATTGATGTTTAAGGCAATCACATTCGAAAATATCTGAAACAGGTAAATTATCTGATCACTTTTTTTGACACAACATACCTATAAGACTGTAACTTTCCTTATTTGAGTCCGAGTTTATATCGGTCATTAAGTGCACACATCTGTGATCCGTTGCTCACATATCGTCACTTACTTTTTAAAGGAAACAATTGGGGTGAGCATGATGGATGGAATCATCGTGTCCATGAATTACGGACGTGCAGTTTAAAACTATTAGACAGGCGCTAAATCATAACAACACCTGTTTCATCATGAAATGCGTCGTCAACACGATAGCGCACATCCTGAAGCAATATTGCGTCAGCCAAACGTACGGGAACAAGTGTGACCAGGCCAGCGAGAACATGTCGAACATCTCGGTGTAGGTGTCAATCAAGGTCATCACGCACAGGGTGCACAGGGACAACAGCAGCTGGACGCCGTACAAGTCGTTCAGGTCACCGATCGCGTACCGGAGGCACTGGTGTCTCATCCGGAGCAGCTCGACGTCGCCGACAGTGGGACGGGTCCCGGACGCCGCCGTACTCGGGCCGCGGCGGTGTCCGTCGGCCGACTGCAGCAACACGGACGGGTACCGGTTCGCGGTGACCGTCGCCAACTTGAGCACGAACGCGTCCTCGTTGATCTGACAGAACCGCCGGTACAGACTGAAACAGCGCGCCACGTAGTGGATTTCCGTCGAGCACATGCATAGGTTTTGCGCGTACATGAGCACGAAGAACGCGGTGACGGTGTGGTTGCGGACGTCCTGGTGGATCAAGTACAAGCGGTACGCGTTTATGGGCAGCACGGTGATGGCGTACCCGAACACTATGGACGCGACGAAAGTGACGCCGCTGCCGACCCTGTCCGGAAAACATGCCTCGTACTCGCGCGTCATGTTCTCGTACTTGCGGAACTCGCCGTTCGCGCTGTGCAACATGGTCTTCGCCCGGATCACCAGGCACACGACGGCCACGGTCCGGGGCAATACGGTTTTGACGCGAATAAGCACGGCCGTCATCTCGTGCTCGTCACACGCCTCCATCGCGCACATGCAGTACGGCGACAGCACGATGTTGAACAAGCACGTGGTGATCAACACGAACAAAAACAACCCTTCGATAATGTATTTGCGGCAACCCGCGAACTTAAACATCGTCCGACGTGCTATTTTCGGGTGCGTGCATGCGCCAAAACAGTCGTATCGATATTGGGGTGGTTTTTAAGGCTTACAATTTGTTCGCTGATCGATACTGCAAACAGTCAACGGTCGATTCGACATGTTTACGACGTAGGGGTAGGTATTATATACCTATATGTTATAAGCGTGATTATATTGACAACGGTTAAGTACTTTTCATAATAAGGCCCTCGAGTGTGTTTGTAATTTGTACCTATATGCCTCGTCACGAGCTTTTCAAAAACTGTTTTGGACAGTATTACAAAATATTCAAAGTTGTCTGCTGTATACATTCTACGGGGCACGAATCGTAATAATATTACAATTTGTCATTTTTAAATTTACAATAGTTATCGTGCAAATGAAACAATTTAATTGCTCTTCTTCCTTCATACACTGTAGATTGAGTGGTGGTTTTGATAAAAGTTGTATTCTGAATTAATTTTCTAAGTTTATTTTAATAATGTATAGGTACACATAAATAATAATCGTCCAGCGTTGATCGTACTGTGAAAGAATGATGTTAAAATTAAAAATTAATATAAAAAGTGGTGTGTTGAATATAAAACACAATTATTATATATGTATATTGTATGTTTACTCGTACTTGATATTACGCGATTGAATAAAATCCTCTAATGTCATATTATGTGATAGCCGATGTATCGCGATTCATTCAGCATATTATTATACAATTTATAATATAATTTATAATATGTATTTAAATACAGATATATCAGATATATGATATGTTATAAAATAGATATAAAATAATAAAAATAAATAAATATATAATAGATAAATTAAACTAAATTTGTTAATATACATGAAAATGTAACACGTATCGTGATAATTTAGGCACTGAAATAGATTATTGTTTAAAAATAAAATAAAACATTTCACAAATCAGTTTAAATATAATTGAGTGGCTTATTTTTTTCGGTAACATTTTATTTGTTTGATGAATTAAACTGTAATAAAATTACGAGATATGTCGTGCCAGCTGCAATTGCCTACAAACAAAAACAAAATATATTCAAAATAAACCAAAACATTTCCATACTGAACGGAATAAATTAGTTCTTAGTACTTCACAAATGTTTTTATCATAGGTACAATATTTTGGCTGTATTGCCAACTTACAGATGTGATCAAATGTGTGTTTAAAGTGAAGAAATCGCAAGCGGTAAATTCAATTGTACAGCTGGATATTTGATTGAGGAAAAGTTGTAACTGTATATGAAAATAGATATATGGTTATAACTTCTAGTAGGTAAATATCATAATTTGTACAAACAGATACATACCTCTTCCTTAGTATTATTATCTAAATAACGATTGTTTATATCTGTTATAAGTATTTTGGATTTGAGTGCCTGAAACAAACATTTTCAATTATAATAATTAAATACAAGTATATAATACGTCGTTTTGTAATATATTGTTTCAAATACAAGCTACTCTCCAAAATTAATAAAAAATTTAATTATTTTTAAAACTGAAAAAAGATTCTTTTACAATGTTGGTTTCCTATCTCTTTACAGATATAGAATAAAGATAATAAAATTATACGTATAGTTAAATGTAATGCACTGTATATATGTACTATGGGCATGGTGTATGATAATTTCAATTATGTGTATATAACCTAACCTAACCACAGAGTGCACAGATTAACTATAGTGCACATGTACACATATTTTTCAATCTTAAGTACCAGAATCCTAGATAATTTTTTTCTTAAATAATTTTTATAGATTATAAAATCAATATATTTATTACTAAAATGTCACTTAAAAATGTTCATTGTTATATAAGCCTACCAAATATGTACAGAAGTAAATTTAATAAGATATTCCTATTTTAGGTACCTACCCTTACAAATTAGCACAGTAACATTTCACAATTAATGTACTCGTTTTGTGGTTTTTTTAACACGATTTTGGTGAACTTATAATACTAAATATAATAGCAGGTGTTTCGATATAGGTATATAATTAATATTACCTGTTTAGTTGTTATATGGGCTAGGACAGTGATAAATAAAAATCTAACGAAGTATTGTAAAATCCAGCCGTATACGAGAATCTTATACTTGGAGTGTTTCCATACTGCTTGCAAATGATAATATAAGTCAAATAAGGTGTACAGACACAATGAGCACAATGACAATCCCAAATGAATTCCAAACGTGTTGTTTAAATTCTTTACAGATTGGCTGACTAATTTATGTTTGGTTTTTAGGTTTTCCAAAAAATCGATCATTGGACGGCCGGCAATCAAAGATTGAAAAACTTCTCTGTTGTATTCAATAGCAGTGTCGGGTTTTCCGTATTTCTCTCCGGTTAGTGACACGAACGGGTATTTGTTACGTACGATCGTGTCGATCTTCAGTGCCATTAAATCGTTGTTGATCCCAACGATCTTTTGATAAAGAATGTAACACAGTACAGAAAAATGAGTTTCTATGCAATACATGCTGAAGTTTTGTATGTACACCAGGGCAACAAATGGAACGGTTTGTTTTGCTACGTGATATAAAATCCACAATCTGCACACATTAACGGGTATAGTTAGTAATGTGCAACAGAGTACGGCCCGAGACGACATTTTTTTCAACCTATCTGTTTCAGAAGATGTCATTGGTGTATAGGCATGGAAATTGTCAATATTTTGTTTGTACATCACCAAATGAGTTCTACCCTTTAAAAAAATCACACATCTTGATATCATACAGGTCAAAGCCACCAACCTCGCAAACATCCCTTTTATAAACGTCGATAGTGTGTTGTCACAGTTGTCTTCCAACGCGCATACAATTTGAGGTGTAGTGTAAAAAACATATACACACGATATGATTAATAGCGCAGAGTAAATTATTTGCCATTTGTTATGAACAACAGATGTAACACTAAAAACATCAAAGATAAAAACTGACCATTTGGCTATTGGACGAAACATCACTACCTATACCAATATCTTTTTCCAAAGCTACCCATACTATTTTTTTGAATATTTTGAAAGCTATTTCATAATATTGTGTACATTATTTCTGAACATATTAACCACATGTGTGTATAAACGTCAAGGTACATCAGAAATACATAAACAACAATTTTATTTACCCATTAAATTATGTTTATTTTACCGGTTGCACCCTTTGAATATTAAATTATTTTGAAAATAAAACTCATTATATGGCATTACCTAGCTAGAAGTAAAATAATTATAAAAAGATTTAAACGATATTTTAAAAAGCAGGATAACAATTTTGACAAATATAATATATATATATATGTGTGTGTGTTTTAATAATCTTGATTTAATAACTTGCAAAAAAGGAACTTTATGTGCACCTACTTATTGATATTTTGATATCTATACATATTTATCTTATGACTATATAATATATATTATATATAAATGTACACTCCAGGATAATAATTTCTTTCGTTTTTCTTTTATTAACTAAAATATTAGATGGACAATTTGTAATTTTAAATTTGAATCACATAATCGTATAGTAGGTGTATATTAACTGTATATAGGTACCCAATACTATTTAAATTTAATAAATGAAAATCAACGTAAAAAAATAAAAAAATTTTACTAATAATATGTTGAAGAATAGTTTAAGAAATAAAATGTTATACCTACCTAATTATGAATATAATATATATTATTCTACTACAGTTATTAATTATAATACCTAGGCATAAATTATATTATATGAAATACCATATACTTATTATACTTCGAATATTTGATGTACAGATGATTGACATTTTACTGTAATATTATTACAAGTACAATAATGATTCATAATATGAAAATCTAAGTTATGTATACGAACCTTAACATACATTAAACACACATATAAATAGATTTTATTATGGGTATTATAATAGACAGTAGGTATATAGGAAATATTTATAAGAATAAATGATGAACATTGGCACATCGCAAATAAGTAAAATAAGTATAGGTACACACAAAATATTTTTCAATTAGGTACCTATACAACTATATAAGATTAAGTTTATTCGCATTAATGAACTCTTTAAATATTTCATCCTCAGTCCACACATTCCTCTAATTCTTACTTTGTTATTTTTTCCACATTCATTATATTTCATCATGCTGAATTCAACGTTTTAAATTGAACAGTTTTCCTCATTTAATTGTTTAATTTATATTAATTTGTTAATGTTTATAATTATACTGTGGTTACATTAAAAAAAAAATGTTCCTTATAGTAAGAACATTATATATATTTATTATATTTTCATTAACGACTATGGTCTAAAGGCAATTCTTGTACACAATATACAAAGAGAACAGAAAACAGAGATCAGAGATATTTCAAACATATAATATTAAGGATTTTGGGAATGAGATATTAACTATAACACACTTTAATTGTGCGTTTCCTGATTTTTTTATTTATCATAAATTATAATATATTATGCTGTTTAAATCTCCTTTATTTGGTTCTAACCTAGATTTAGTAGGCGATTCGAGTGCACCAATCAATAACGTATGTATAGTGTACCTATTAATTATTATTGTGTTTATAGTAATTAGATAAATTAGTGAGTGTCATATCTAGATAAATGTTATGTATTTTAGGTTCTCAGTTACTGTAATTACTTATGACCAATGAATAATGATAAATATATTATAATGTGTTTCTACGAGTATACATATGCGGATAGTAATTTTACCTGTTTAGTCGTACTATGAGCTGCTACTACTATAACATAAAATCTGATGGAGTATTGCAGTAACCACATATAAATAAATATCAACGGCCTTGAATTGGAACCCATAACACCGAAAACTTGGTAATAAATGTCGAATAGCGTCATTACACACCGAGTGAGTAAAGACAAGCCCATGGGTATTCCGAACAAATTGATCAACGCGTAGACGGCGTCTCGAATCAACCGGTGTCTGATACGTATTATCTCCACTGCATTTGCGATCGAGTGGTCGTTGGAACCGTAAAAGTCTCCATCGTAGAGGACTCGGTGTCCGACAGCAACTGTCTTTTCTATAATGCTCATCGACGTGTGCTCGATTTCCCGGCCAAGATATTCCAGGTCCCTGTTGATTTTGAAAAATTTGTAGTCCAGCGTGCGGCACTGAATTACGAAATACGTCTCTATCGTGGACATGCTTATGTTTTCCAGGTACATGAACAGGAAAAATATGAAAATTACTGTGCCCGAATTGCTTCTGTACAGCATAAACAGCCTCAACATGTTGATGGGCAGTATAACGGACAAACACAATACGGTCAGAAACAAATGAGACAGCGAGCGATTACGGTGTTCAGTGTCGGTCGTTGGCGAGTACACTTCGTAGGCTTCGATGTTTTTTTCGTAAACCGACATCGTAGTGCAGAACTTGCACAGCAACGTGGAAAGGGACAGGAAACAGGCCATGGCTATCATCCTGGAGTACATACCTTGCACCGAGGTGAACGACACCCCAGCGCAATTGCCGTCCAACAGGCACAGGACCAACGGAGACATGATGAAATTGAAGACACAGGTAAT